AATTTGCACAACCCTTTTTGGTAAGCTAACCAGTAAAGTATAGAAAGGACACCAACCACTTGTGAACCATTCCAAAACCAACACTGAGTTTTCTACAGTTTGTTTTAATCAGAATTATTTTTGAACACAATTTTGGTCATGCATTGCAAGAATATCAATGATATTAGATTGTAGTATAACAAACTGTTGTAGTGACATAGTGAGCTTTTTTTATAGTTTGCCACTTGAATGTTCACAGTGGTGTAACAAAAAGCTTAAGAGAATCTGAGGTGTAAATGGATGCGTGAAGTAAGGTATTAACTTGTATTGGTATTAAGTTAAGGTTCTGAGGTGAATAGCCCACCTTTCCTTCCTTAAGAGCAAATGACATAACCTTCACCATGTCCAAAATAGACTCAAGTGATCGAACACCATAGTCATTCCTGTAAATGAACAATGATTAGGTGACTCCAGTAAATCTGTACCCACAAAACAGAGGGGCATCATGTCACAAAGTGTAATAACTGATACAAAATGTAAGGGTTGAGCAAAAGGTAATCCTAAAAAGTATAAAACTGTTTTCAGCAGCCAACAAGAATTTTTTTAAAAGATTTACTGAAATACTGGGTTAAGAGGATCAAGGCCATTTTTTTTGGCTGCACTTTTCAAGTGAGTGGAGGCCAAAGTGAGGCAAGTGCTAGGAGAAGGTGAAAGATGAGGATGTACAGAATGCACAACATTTCCCTTGCTCTTTGGTCTCCAGCCACCACCAACATCAGTCTTTCCCATTCAAAGTGTTGAAAACTGTTTATAGTTCTTTTATGATTTTGATGTTATTTCCTAATCATAGGCTTTCTCACAAATTTGCAAAATGTTTGCAGGCTTGTTCAAAACCTCTGATCTGGCTCTGAGTTTAGGGTTGTAAAAATCAGTCAAAAAGCTGTGGAACTAAAATAGCCAAAATAACTCATGGCCACCCCAGTATCACAATGGAGAAAATGCCCGTTCTTCTGGCTAACCAAAAACATTTAAAGTATGCTGGCAAGAAATAACAGTTAGCAGATATTTTTCCCTTGTTTTGCATTCATATTTCTAACATATTTGGGCTAGATGGAGGGCTCCTCAGAGAGCTTGGTCCAATAAACAAAAACCAAATGTGACCATGTGATGACCAAATGATGTTACAACCAAATTGGATAGCTGTCTTTACAAATAAATGCCAGAAAGTGTGAACAATGGTCTACATGTCTTGCCCCTCATGCTTACCTCACATGTCTCTAGGCAACACCTGTTGCACAAGGTACATTTAGCTTGTATATTTTTTAATTACATGTGGACTAGTTATCAATAAAGTATAAAAGACAACACTCACCATCCAAAATTGTAGAAGAAAACTTGTTTTCAAAATGAGAGCCATAAGGAAAATAATAAATCAGCCAATGTTAATAATTATTAGCTATTTCAAATAAAAAAATCATAATTAACTATTCTAAAATTTGAGGTGTTAATTTATCTGTCATCTCAATAAGTTTTCATGAGTTAAATCACATCAATGTATGCATTAAGTGTCACTGCACCTCAACTTTTGGTGTTAGTGACCACAACATAAAAACATGTTATAATTGTCTGCCAAACTTAGCAGCATCAGCAAACAGCATCACAAACTACTTTTCACAGAGTTCCAAAGTCACATCAGAATAATAAATAAAATGAGTAGTTCAATCAGACAAAGTGAAAAGGCACTGTAAAAGTTTTACCAGACTGCTGTACAATGAAATACACTACCACTGATGCAACCTGGGTGCAAGCCAAGCTCTGTTGTGTTTATCAAATACATTTACATAATTATTCTTAACACAACAAAGGTTAATTTCTTACATTTCAGAATCAAATCACTATATACATGTATGGATTAAAAGCTCTATCTAATTAAAACCTTTCAGAATAATAGCCATAGGAAATTTGAGAGAATATTTCACAGAGTGGGTATACATGTAAGGTGACAAAGTCCCCTTGATGTTTTTAGACTTTTGTAAAGTGTTCCACCTATGCTTATTTATTTATGATGCTTGCCTCCGTAGAAAAACATGGTTCTTAGTTTCTGTTCCTTGGTTTTAATGCTTCATTATGAAGAATTAACATATTCCAAAAACATGTTTTTTTTGTGAGACTGTAGGCTTAGGGTGCTTATCACTTAGAAATAGGTGAGTTTTCCATCAATGAACTACATTCACACATTTCAATATTGCAATGATACCATGGGTTTCATTGGATCATTTTCTCTACAACTTAAGGTATCACAGAAGGAAAATTAGTGTTTTCATTTAAACTGAGATAGCAAGAAAATTATGTGCACTATCACTGTAAAAGTATACCTTTACTTAAAGCTTAGTAAACACTGATTTCAGATATATAATTTAATTTACTACTAAATAGAATGGTTGCCTATTCTTTCACACTGAGAGGTTTGACAAAATAAGTTTAATTATATACAAAAGAATTTTAATCATCACGTTTCTTCTTGGTTATTACAATGTGATCGGCACATACTTTACTGAAAAAGGGCATCTGAGATTTGTATTTTAACGCCTTGTTATTTTCAAAGCTAAAATAGTGACACTACAGGAATGTGTCAAGAGAAAACAGGATTCATTAACTGAATAAGTGGGAGCAGTACATACTGTCATCTTTCATGAAGTCTTCTGGATCATAAGAAAAGCCACTAACAGGATCAATACCAAAGCCACAACTGACATGTTCTCCTGGATGCTGAAGGTTTATCAATGATTTAATTCCCATCCTTTTTGGAGAAAGCATACAAATCAAATGATAAAGTGCACCTACTACGAAACTGTCAATACACACTTGTATAGAAAATGTCTCTCATCATATACAAAACAGATAGGAATACTACCATGGAAAGGAAATCAAATTGTGTGAACTGAGTGAAAATCTCCATCAGAGTCACATTAACAATTTTCCATTAATTTTTTCAGTCTAGTCGGTTGGTATTGCTATGGGGATTCTGCTGTAACCAAATAGTTCATAATAAAAAAGGAGAACCACAAAAATTATTTTAATTTCAATTAAACAAATTAGACGTTTAATACAAGTTTATTTTAAAAAATGTAAATTTGCCCTTCACTTTTCTTAAAACAAATTTACCTATTTTAAACTTTACATTTCCATTTCAATGAAACCATAAATATTTGTATAGTTGCATTGTACATGTACATGTGCTGTGATATTTGCAAAAGTTAAATACATATGCTGTACCTGGAAAACTGTTCGATGACAGCATATGTCCTCATAACTTCAGTAGATGGACGAGCAGTGGCTAAAATGTCTGGAGTTACCCTGTAAAAGAGTATGACAAATAGCATACAAAATAAATCACTGTGAGAACAACAATGGAAGAAAAGGGTATCAGTGGAATTAAATTTCTTCTGCATAAAATTGAAAATTAAGGGTACATGATTTCTAAGTAAAATTTATATACTTTGGGCTAAATTAGGATTACTCTACAGTAATCTCATTTGTATGTTGCAATTAGACAATTGTTGTAAGCTAGTTCAGAGTAGAGACTGTATTCACATGCAACATAACCATTAACTCTAAACAGTCATGTAACCATGACCCTTACTAACAAATTATGACAAAAATTATTGCCAGAGCCAGAAGCAAAGATCCAAACCATTACAAGACCAAATGAATAAAGGGGGTTAGTTTCAAAAGAAACTTTGGTGCTGCATTGGTAGGAGAGTATAACAAGGTAATTTAGCATTATCAACTGAGTTGATAACATAAATTGGCCACTGTAGAGAATTTAAATGCTGACGTTTTGAGTGTTAGCCCTTCATGAGAGAGCTAAGGAAGGGTTAACACTAAAAACGCCAGCTTTTTAACTCTTTACAGTGGCCAATTTACTCTATAAATGCAGTTGATAACACAAAATTACCCCATTACAAGGCCAGTTTTCAGGGCCTCCATATGCTTTACAACTGAGTCAATCTATGTGTGATTGCTCTGACGAATAATGCTCAAAAATCAGCTTTGAAACTGTCAACTGAGAGTTGATAATTCCAAATTATCCTATGTGTGATTTCGTTTGTTTATTCTTTGTACAACTCCAGGGGGTATCTTTGGAAATTATGAACATCCTTGGAAGACTTTGAGTGATGAGAAAAGACATCCACAGAAAATATCGTGCCTTTGAGTCAAAGAAAGCCCTGTACATTTAGATCTGCCTCAGAATATCAAGGGTCGACCACTTGGAGGGGCTGATGACGAAATCAATGAGTTATGACACTTGAGAATTCTAGAGCTGCATAGATTATTTTCCACCGTCCAATAGAAAATTACTCATCTTGACGATTACCATAAATTTAAATCGATAAATATTTCATGAGAAGATACTATCTTGCCTTGAATGTAAAGACCTTTTTATAACAGAAATATACCCATTTACATATTTAGACCCTAACTGCACTCTCAACTATATTTCCTCACAGCTATAAGCATACTCACGGTGCCTGTAACAAGTCGTTATTAGTCTACAAGTTGTTCTCAGCGATCCCATACTTCACCAAAAAAATAGATCTTCACTCTTTCAGCTTAACTAGTAACAGTTAAAGCTTACCACGAGGAATAGAGTCCTTGAATCGCCATTTCTTCGCTTCTAAACTTGGCAGGGTTTTCATACTTGCACTGTTTTCCGCCGCAAAACATTGAACACTGTAAAGCACCCGGTGCAACGTGCCGAAAGTGCTCCGAAATACGCGAATATTTTGGCCTAGCATCCTTCTTTGGAAGATCAGAGTTGTTTAAAGTCCATTTTACTTTTCCAGAAGAATTAGCTTCGCCCGTATCCATCACATGTTTACTCATAAAAGGCTAGACAGAGTGATAACACAAATCTTGTGCTATATTACATTGTCATGTTCCGGCTGTGCTCCATCAGTTACTAAGGTAACTGAGAAAGATACCAGCTCAAGGCGAAACTTCGACCGCGCATGCTTAAACTACTGACTAATTGAAGCAACAACAGACGAACTTTCGTAACTTTGAGATGAAATTCACCTCGAGGTTTGAGGCTTTTGGTCGGGGTAAGCACTTTTTGAAATACATACTAGGATGTAATAAAATTTTGTTAACAAGGTTAATATATAATGGAAGTTTCGATCAAATATAACCTTCTTGTGAATAGCGTTTAGATGTAAGTATTGTTCACAGCCATGATGATTATGAACCCTAAAGTAAGCATTAAAAATTCGTAAGCTTGCGCGAGAGGTCGTATTTTTCCTTTATAATTGGTCTTCCAGTTTTATCAATATGCTAGACTTAGAAGATCAATAATTTTTTTTGGAAAAAAATGTGTCGTGTTGCTGGCGTGATATTGATGCTGTCAAAATCACAAAAAAGATTCAATTTTGCTGTGCCGTAGCACACAGAGTAGGGAGTCATATTTGACTATATTTCCAAATAGACGCACCCAACTAGTTGACTGACTGTCAATACTGGTGATTACACCATACACTTATAATCCTCACTAATTCTATTGTGGCAATGGTCAACTCAAAAGCTTTGGCCACTCCTCTCTTTCTTTCGCATTTCTTAGGCATTTTTTGTTCATGAAGTGAAAGTTATATAACTGAAATAGGTGTAAATAAATGTAATCAAATCGGGAAATTGTCATCCTAAAGGGGAGGACCCCTGTGGCATTTGTGGGCAGCTGACTTTTTGGAAGAGCCTTTGGTGAAAATTCCCATCCTAAGCCATGAAAAATGAGTATACTCAAATCAAATTCCCTCTCCTTGGACAAACAATATTGATTTAAGCATTAGAGGAACAATTGATACACATTTTGAAAATATTCTGAAGGAAATTGTGTGATCAAAGCTACTGTTCCATTGTCTGTTATCGTATGGTTTTGTGTAGTTATTACCGAACTAAAACTTATTGTGTTAACATTTTAGAGTTGATCGGACAAAGAATTTTCAGTTATGGGACCTTCTCCAAGGCTAGAGGAGTACTGAACCATCTGGCTGGTGTCAGTGAAAACAAAGTGCGTGGAGTGCAATCCTGTGGATCCCCAAATTTATCTTCTGGTAAGTTTGGAGCAGTAATAACGAAAACAACAGCATCAGCCCAAGATACTCCAGTTACAGTAATCCTTGGATGGAATAGCTCCAGAGGAAAACATCTTAAAAAGTACAGCAAGATATTTGAAGACAAGTCCTTTGACACCATCTGTGTTCCAGCAAAACCAGTCAACACATTTCTTAGACCAGGAACCAAGGTTAAAACAATTGGTCTTTACATTTTGGATCTTTTGGTTGACCTTAACTGTCAAAAGAGGCCTGTGTTCCTCTATGCATTCAGCAATGGTGGCTGTGCTTTGTTTTTTCATATTATGGAAGTCCTCTCATATCCAACTACAGCATACTATCGGGCAGTACCAGTTGTTGGGACAATCTTTGATAGCTGTCCCATTAATCCAGACATTAAAAGTTTGCAAGCCACAAGAGAGAGTGTTACTGACATGATCAAAAATCCAATCATGAAAGCAGCATTATGGTACAGCATGACTGTCTTTATTCCTCCTGTTATCTACTTAAATGGCACTGTGAAACGTTTCATGTCAGGTATGATAGAATCTCCACTTCTATGCCCACAGTTGATTTTGTACTCAAAGACAGACAAGTTTGCTCCATACCAGGACATTGATTCCTATATTCAAGCAAGGAGACACAAGGGCATTCACGTTACATCCAAATGCTGGAACAGCTCAGAACATGTTAATCATTACAGAGAACATACTGACGAGTACTTACAGGAACTTAATGCTTTCACTGATTTTTGCTTAACTTCATACCATGATCAGAAAAAGTGAATTTTCATCATTAGGTAAATCACACCCAATAGTAGCCAACACAGTGATTTCTCAAGTTTCCTTTCAGTATCCGACATGAAGTTGGCTTGCGGGTGGCCCCAAAAAATAGAGTAACTATGTTTGAAATGTGGGGTTTTCAATTGCTTAAATATTGACTATACAATGAATGCATTTTAATAATTATTATTATCCTTGGTATTAAAGTTCTCTGGGGTGAGTTACAATGTTAGTTACCATATTTTAACATCCTACTGGCAAGATGATGTAGGCATGCTTAGTGCCCTGCTCTGCTCTGGAGCTATGCAGGTATGAAGGTCACATTGTGATTTCTTTGGGTTGCTAAAAAATGTGCAAGAGACAAGTCACCTGAAATGAGTTAACACCTGAGGTTGGGTTAGGATTTTTGCAATTAATTTCTCTGAGGCCTTTGATTCCATGAACCACTTTATTTGATAAGTTTTTAAAAGTTTTTTACCAATCCTTGCATTGTGAAGTGATGCAACCATCTTTTAAGAAAAAACTCTATAAAGTCTACAAAGCTCGGTATGAAGTGAACTTCTCATCAGAAAAAACAGCTTCATAACTCTACTTAAAACTTTAAAGGTCATTGAATGGAAAAATCGCTGAAACACTTTCTCATCGGAACAAATTAAAATACTTCACTATCAGAACCAACAGAGTCATGTACAATGAGGAGGGTGACAGTATTAACAAATGGTAAAACTGTAGCGCCACCGTACACAGTTGACTCCTACAGGACTTTCAGTCCCTCTACACGACTCCAATCAAAACATACGGAGTCATACGGTAACGAGGGTGGAAGTAATACAAAGTAAGTCTTGGTGTAAAATAACTTTGATTTGTAGCCAAGCAACTTTTGATTTGTGGCGAAACGACTTCGACATGAAGCTAAATGACTTTGTAGTGAAAAAAAAACATCAAGTTACAACAGCTGATACTTTTAGCTGGCGGGCAACTTTTCTGAAATTTCTTAATAGTGTCCTTATCACAGCCTACTCAACCTACTGGTCGCCTTACACCGAGGCTCTCGGTGGTCTGCACGGGGATATAGCTTCGACAGTTGAAAGTTTATTTGTTTTCCAATTTGACGGTCAACGGTTAAATTTCAGTGCCTGTGATGGTTGACATTCACTCGAAGATATATTTCTATGCGTTAAAATTCATATTAAGTTTCTCTGTTTTTATTATTATCATTATTATTTTGAATAATGAATGTTACTTCAGTATCTCGCACACTTATCAGAGTCTTTTTCATTGGATTACTATGTTAGTATCTTGCACACCTTTAGCATCCTATTTCATTGGATTTTTACGTTAATTTCTCGCGCACTTTTACGATTCTCCTTCGTTGAATTGTTGCCCTAGTATCTCGCACACTTTTAGGATTCTCCTTTATTCGAAAGTTGCGTTTGTACCTTGTGCATTTTAGGATTGACCTATATTCGATATAATAGTATAATAGTATCTCCTAAACTTGTAGAATTCTCTTTCATTCGATTGTAACATTAGTGTCTCACACATTGGAGTGTAAAGTTAATATCTCCCCCCCCTTTTTAGGAATCTCTTTCATTGCATTGTTTCCTTGGTATCTCGAGCACATTTAACGTTCTCTTTCATTAGATTGTTAAGTTGGTATTTCACGCATTTTTAGGATACTCTTTCATTTAAAAGTTACGTTGATATCTAGCGCATTTTAAGATTGACTAACATTCGATTGTGGTTAGTGTCTTGTGCACTTTTAGGATTTTCTTTCGTGTGATTTTTACGTTAGTATCCCGCGCAACGCGTCATGTGCGCGCACTTGTCTCGCATTTTGCCAAGTTAACTGTTTGTTTTTTATGAAAACGTACAACTGATATCTAGTTTCTTTCTCAAATTCTGTCATAGTTTTGATTAATTGGTAACAGGACTTCGTGTCGTCCAATTCTGTCTGTAATCATAATCGTGATTGACAAATCGGGCTCCCGCCTCGCGGTCGTCTGATTTGATTGGACTCCACTCGGTCCTATTACCATTATGAATCAAAACTATAACAAAAACCTCGAAAGTGATTGTTAATCACCTGCCCAATTTCCAATGGAAGCATCTTGCACACTGGTATTCTCTTTTATTAGGTTTTTACGTTAGGATCTCGGGCATCTTAGAATTGACTCGTATTCCATTGTCATGTTTGTATCTCGGGCACTTTTAGGATTCTTCCTCGTTACATTGTAATATCATCATCTCACACACTTTTATTCTCTTTCACTGGATTGTTACAATACTACCTCGCGGAATTTTAAGATTCTCTTTCATTCGATTGTCTCGGGCACTTTAGGATTCTCTTAGAATGTTACGTTATGTTCCTGCGCGCTAGGATACTCCTTCATTCGAGAATTACTTTCTTATCTCATGCGCTTTAGGATTGCGTTACATTACATTGTTGCGTTTGTAGCTCGTGCACTTTTATGATTGACTTACAATCGATTAGTACGTTTGAATCTCGCGCACTTTTAAGATACTGCGTCATTTGATTGTTACGTTAACATCTCGGGCACTTTTAGGATTCTCTTTCGTGCGATTTTTACGTCAGTATCCTGCGCAACTTTTGGATTCTTCATTAGTATCTCATGCTCTTTTAGGATTCTCTTTCATTCGAAAGTTACGTGAGTATCTCGTCCAATCCAAGATTGACTTAGAATTAGAATTTTCTCTTATTCGATCGAAATGGATGCATCACGCGCACTTTTACAGTAAGTACCTCGCGTATTTTAACAAATCTCTTTCATCCGATTTTTACGTTAATATCTCTTTCACTTTAAGTATTTCTTTTCATTCTAGTTTTTCATAAGTATCTCACGCACTTTTAGGATACTCCTTTATTCGAAAGTTACGTTAGTATCTCGTGCAAACTAGGATTGACTAAGAATTAAAATTTTCTTTTATTCGATTAAAACGGATACATCACGCGCTTTTCTGTAGGATTCTCTTTCATCCGATTTTAACGTTGATATCTCTCGAACTTCTACCATTCTCTTTTATTCAATTGTTACGTTAGTATCTCGCGCACTTTTAGGATTGACTTACGCATGACTGTTATGTAAGTATCTCGTGCACTTTCAGGATTGACTTACACATGATTGTTATGTAAGTATCTCGTGCACTTTCAGGATTCTTTTACATTGAATTGTTACTCTAGTATCTCGCGGAATTTTAAGATTCTCTTTCGTTCGATTGTTACGCTAGGATTTCGGGCACTTTTAGGATTATCTTCCTTTGGATTGTGGCTTTAGCATCTCCTAGACGCGCAGTGTGCACATTTGAGAATCTCTTTCTTTGGAGTGTTACGTTAGGATCTTGCGCACTATTTGGATACTCCTTCATTCAGAAGTTACGTTAGTATCTCGTGCACGTTTATGACTGGCGTACATTCGATTACTATGTTGGTATCTCTTGATCTTTTAAGACTCTTTTCCATCCAATTGTTTCATTAGTATCTCACGCAAATTCATAATTCATTCGATTGTTACATTCGTATCCTACGCACTTTTAGGATTCTCGTTCATTGGATTGTTGCGCTTGTATCTTACGCACTCTTAGGGTTCTCTTTCACCCAACTGCTACGTTAGTGTCTCGCACACTGTTATGATTCTTATTTATTCGATTAAAAAGTTAGTCTTTCGCTTACTTTTAGCATATTAGATATAGAACAAAGATAAAAACGTCGTTGATCGACAGGGAATTATAAGTATGCTGGCGAAAAATCCAAATAAGGAGTTATCGGATCAAAGCAATCGACAGCTTTCAGGAGACTGGACATGATCTAAGCGCGATCTCAGTTGTGAGCGTGTGCAAAGACAAGTCATAAATAAAGTCACCTATTTTCAACTATTTATCGTTTTTGATGGCTGAAGGTTAAACTTTGAGTCCTTGACGGCCCGAGGTCTGTCGCTGTCTTCGTGAAACCCCTGTATCAGTGCTCGCACAGAATGGAGCAATTAATAAGTAAAGCGAGGTTAAATATATTTTTAACTGAATCCTGTTGTTTTGCCGATTGTCTCTACGCCACTTACGGCAAGATTATTTACCCATATTAACTTGATACAACGTAGCATTTTATTTTAACGATCTAATGACTTTTAGCAAAAATTTGTAGTTTGACTAAAGCTCTGAGGAGTTTGCTTTGAGCTCCAGCCCCGTTCTAAATTAATCTGTGATAGTTCCCACTTGTGATTAAATTGAAGAGGAAATAATGTGGAGAATGTACATGCAAAGTATTTCTGTGAAAAATATAAATATTAGAACGTCTAGCAGCGATGCATTCGCCTTCTGAGGGGTGGGCCTTTATTTTACGAAGAACCCACATAGCCGCTAGTTTTGCAGCTAGTTCCTTCTATCCCCACGGTACATTTTGCTAAAAGAAGCCCAGAGATATATGAAGAAAAGAGCGTTCTTCACCGGACTGAAAAAAAAAAATTACAAATTGTCGTTATTCTTCGAATACAGTCAAATCCTTGTTGAAGTGCCTTGGCCCTCTATCGCTTTAGTATCCCGAAACGCTCAAAATTTCCAGGGAGAGACAAGGTTTGGAAACGAAAATCGGTTGATTGAGAATTACTCGACCCAACAATATAAAGGGAAACTTTCGTCATAAAACGGTTTTCTTTAAAGTTCTCATTTCAGTGTGACCTTTCATTCCATAGGCTTAAAGGAACAATAAACCAACGCAGAATTTATGAGGCGAAGGAAGGTTATTACCGAGTTTTAAGAATAGCCTCTGAAAACTCCAATTAAAAATGCGCCTTATTGCTTTTACAACTGCAAAATGATTTGGTCTTTTCTTCATTAGTTTATCAAATTTCGAACGATCAGAGCACTCAAAGTAACTTACAGCTTTCCCTTTTCTTCCGATCACAGGAAATTAAAACAGAATTTCGTTGAAAGGTAACCGTAACCAGAGAGACGCGTAGTTACTCGATTCATTCTGCGCAAGGAATTGACAGCCGGACTTCTCACTAGAGGGGCAACTGCAGAGGGGGACTTATTTAAGGGCACTTGTAATATACTTCTATGCTTATTCTTATGCTACTTAAAGTGGCTCCTACATGCGCCCTAACGCGAGAAAACGAGGACACCAAGTTGTAACCGAGATGTCACGATATTTGAAAATCTGCGAATTTTCTGACCCACTTTGAAAGTACATTGTTCATCCACCAGAAGCCCTTCATTATCCTGAATTTAAAGCAAAAATGTTTTTTTCCTCTAAGGTTGTCTAATTGTTTCCGAAATTAACTTCATCAACTTGAGATGTTGTGTCATGCTTCTTTCGCGAATGGTATTTGCCAAAACCGGAAAAAGAAAACGTTTAGGCTAGCTAACATATTTACTAAAATTATCCAAAGAGGCAGCATATTTTAAAACACGAGACAGCACACTGAAAAAGGATAGAAAAAGTAGCATAAATCGTTGTTACATATAACTATAAATCTATTCATCTCTAAATTAAAGAAACATCAATTCTTTTTGTGATAGTGAGATGTATAATACAGAACGTTCATGACTGAGGTGGATGCAAGTTAGCCTTTCGCGGTTCATTTTAAATGGTTTAATAAAAACAAATAACAATATATCAGCAATAAATTTCTTTCATCAGCACTCAGTGAAAATCACACGATCAACATCAGTACCGGGGGTGGATCCAGGATTTTTTTCAGTGGAGGGGGGGGGGGGGACTTTAAAACACCAAAGCCTAAATAAGCCAAGAAATACTGCAAGACAAGTGAACATTATATACTTAATACTGCGTAATAACATAAGACCCTGTCTTTGCAAGAATTTTGGTTAAAGACAAGTGGTAAAAGAAATCCACAGGTCTAATAAGAAGCGGGGGTCTGGACCCCCGAGCCCTCTCTGCCTGGATCCGCCTCTGAATATATTATCGGATTCATATCTTCTTCAACGTTTAAAAGAGAAATGTAGTAGTTTTCAGTCTTGCTTGGGAATGAGGTTGTTTACATCAGGCCGTAACCATTCTTGAACGATTGTGTTAACGATGTTCAGAAGAGTTTCATTGGCTGTTGGAATGTCCACACTAAAAGAAAGGAAGAAAGTGCGCGTCAAACACACAGAACACCATGATATGAAGTGCGCCACACCTTCTCTACTGTT